GGTTTTTCTGAAGTCTGCCTGCTCATCATTTCTTATAGCATTTCTTATGTATTCCATTACATTAATATACCACAACTTATTCAGCCACTCCCCAATTGATGGGTATCCACTCAATTTCCAATTCTTTGCCACCACAGAAAGAGCTGCTAAAATATTTTTGTACATGTGGGTCCTTTTCCCATTTTTATGATCTCTTTGAGATACAGACCTAGAAGTGGTATTGCTGGGTCAAAGGGTATAGGCAGTTTTATAGCCCTTTGGGCATAGTTCCAAATTGCTCTCCAGAATGGTTAGATCAGTTCACAACTCCACCAACAATGCATTAGTGTTCCAATTTTTCCACATCTTCTCCAAAATTTATTATTTTCCTGTTTAGCTAATCTGATAGGTGTGATATGGTACCTCAGATTTGTTTTGATTTGCATTTCTCTATTCAATAATGATTTAGAGCACTTTTTTCATATGACTACAGATAGCTTTAATTTCTTCCTCTAAAAACTGCCTGTTCATATCTTTCGACCATTTATCCATTGGGCAATGACTTGTATTTTTATAAATTCAACTCAGTCCTCCGTATATTTTAGAAATGAGGCCTTTATCAGAGACACTGGCTGTAAAAACTGTTTCTCAGCTTTCTGCTTCCCTTCTAATCTTAGTTGCACTGGCTTTGTTTGTGCAAAAACTTTTCAATTTAATGTAATCAAAATTGCTATAAATATTTTTGTACAAGTAGGTCCTTTCCCCTTTTTTATCTCTTTGGGATACAGACCTAGTAGTGGTATTATGTAATGTGAACATTATTTTACCATTTTAGGTAGTACGGCCCTTTAAGCCATGAAAAAACAGAAATTACTGCTTAATCTTGCCCCAGACCTCTTTCCTTCTAAATCTAAACAATAGTGAAATGTACTCTTACATAGCTCAGCACAGCCCATATCTCCAGGTGCAAATGGATAAGAAAGCTTGCAATATAATTGCTTTAGATAATCACGTTTATACCAGAGACCAGGACACCTGGTCTGGTTTGTGTGATCCCTGACCTGTAATGATGGGGTGCTCGGGTGCTTGTGCTTATACCTGTGCCCCAATGTCTCCCTAGTCTCAGAAACACTGTCTCTGACAACCACTCCCCAGTCCAAGGACACTGTGCCTAGCAGTTATTCATACATGGGCCTCAGCATGACCCTTATGTCTCTCCCTGGTACAGCTACACAGAGCTGGGCTGCTCAGGCCCCAGACCTCAGATCATGTCTCTGGAAGCCTCCCAATTCCTTAGTAAGTTCCTGTCTTGTGAGAAAGCTTTCCCTTGTTGCAGAGCATTCTCTCATCAAGACAGAGGGAGAGGGGTGCCTTGGCCAGCCCAAGGACTCTTCCTCCTGCCAGACTCCAAAGATCCATACCTCTGTCATCTCCCTCCCTGTCTGGTATACTCCCTGTACTTTCCCATCCATAGCCCCACCCGCCCAAAGATACCTGCACCTTTGGATTACCTCATCAGTGTTCCTGGCATTTCTTTCCCATGCTCTTTTCCATATAAACCCTAGCTCGACCCCTGATCGGGGGCTGCTTGATTTGGGTGTGCGTACCCCTTGCAGCTGCGCGCTTCAATAAACCTCCACATTAAATTTCTGATTGGGTCTCTGTCTCACATCTGTTATGGCACAATTACTGGATCAAATGGTATATGCAGTCTGGTTGCCTTTGGGTATAGTTCCAAATTGCTCTTCAAAATGGTTGAATCAGTTTACAACTCCACCAACAGTGCATTAGTGTCCCAATTTTCCCACTTCCCCTCCAACATTTATCATTTTCCCTTTCTGTCATATTAGCCAATCTGATGGGTATAAGGCGGTACCTCAAAGTTGTTTTCATCTGCATTGCTCTAATCAATAATGGTTTGGAGCGTTTTTTTTTTTCATATGGCTATAGATAGCTTTGGAGAAAATCAGAAATTTTAAATGCTACAGTTACAGACCTAGAAATCAAGGAAGATTACATGAAGACTAAACAGTAAGCTGCTACCAAAGTGGTACTCAGGCAAAATCATCTCTCCAACTATAAAAAAAGAACATAGAAAATTACTTTGCAATTTTAAAAATTAGAAAATTGACCAATGAATAAGCCAAATTCAGGTGTCACCAGTAGCTCAGCCCCTGTTTGCCCAAGGACTGAGGGCTCATAAGGACTGGGGGTACTGCCCCCACCTCAGAGTAAAACTCCAGGAAAATCTCTAAAACAACCTCTCTATCTCTATGTGATTTATGTAGAATATCCAATCAATTAATACTGATTGGAATACAGTATGGGTGCAAATTAATTATTTCTCCCACTCCAGTCTCAGGCTTATCTTGGCAAACCATATATCCCAACATCATGTATTTTTGCTGCAAATTGCCATTGCTGCTGGGAGTTGAGCAGGAGAAACTGGATTTGAAAATTATAGAATATGGTCTTTTTAATGAATGTTCCATGAATAGTTTAAAACAATTATATACCTTACTTCATCCATTCATTTCTTTCTCTATATCACAAAAGAAGGCAGGAATTTTAAACATTATATTTATAGATCTCTTTGCTCCTTGCTAAAAGCTATTTCAGAAGTCCAAAGGAGAGAAAGTGCAGACCACAAATAAATTATCATGCATTTTTCCATCACCTTTTATGTGCCTGGCACTTGGAGTGTAAGTACAAAAAATGAAACAATTACCACTCACCAGGAGCTTATATTTGCATAATGAGATAGCAAGTACTTACACAGCATAAAAATAAAGTGAAAAATCAATAAATGCAAAGTATGCATATATATACACATATATACAAATATACACAAAATGAATACAGCATAAATATAAAGTGAATAAATGCAAACATATACAAAGTAGTTAAATGTAAGGAAGTTTGGTAAGGAGAGCAATACCAGTTGAGAGAAATAAAGGAAGACTTCATGCAGAAGATGGTGCTTCAGCTCCATTTTATTTTATTTTTTAGCTCCATTTTAAAGGGTGAGAGGTTCTTTGAGGTAGTATGTGTGTCGGGGGGGGGTGGTATTTGTCCTTCATTCCGGAAGAGGACCATGACATCAAGAAGATGATGCCATGACTTGCAAGTGAATTGGGTTTAAGTGAGGGAGGGCTGGGCAAAGTCACCAGCCTCACTTTCTCCTTCTAAGCCATCTGGGTCCAGTGGCCAGATACACATCATGATGACTGGAGATGGCCCCAGATGCAGTGGAAGACCTTGGCTTTTTAAAGCTAAGGTCTTTAGGAGGTCTCAGTTTGATTCTGTGAGGTGGAGGCATAGGAGATTGCCACTGCAAAAGACCAGACACTGGAGACAGAGTGTACTGTGTGAGGAACAGAGAGAAGGCCAGTTTGGCTGAATCAAAGAGTGCTGGAGGGGAAGTAACATCCAATGGGGCCTGAAATATAGATTAGGACCGGTATGTGAAGGGCTTTGAAAGCTATTGCTAGAGGCAATAGGAAACTAATGGAGTTGATTGAGTAGAGCAGTCACCTGGCTAGATCTATGTTTAGGGAAACTTATTTGGGAAGTGGTATGAAGATTGTACTAAAGTGGTGAGAGGCTTGAGGTAGGGCCTGAATTAGAAGGTGATCGCAATAATCCAGGTTAGAGGTGATGAAGACCTGAACTAAGGCTGTAGCAGGGTAAGTGGAATGATTGTGGCAGATGCAAGAGATGTTGTGGAGGCAGGAGAAGGCAGGACTTGGCAACTGATTGAATGTGAGGGGAGAGACGAACTAAGCAGTCAAGGATAATGCCAAGGTTATGCACCTGAAGGACTAGTCAATGGGGAATAAAGGGCTTCGTGAGGCTTAACTTGATCTGTAATTTTCCTGATCAATTCAGATGGATCAGAGACCTTCATGATCAACTCCCATTATACAAGCTAAGGAAAAATTTATTCAATTAAAAAGAAAAATAAATTAAAAGGGAAAAGTGCATTAATAAATAAGACAACTTTTCCCCCCCAAGACTAGTAAAATTGATATACAATTAGCAAATGAAAGCACTGGATTTGTAGTCAGAGGACCTGAATTTGAATCTCAGCTCTGCTATTTATTACTTGTGTGACCTTAAACAAGTTGTTCAACCTCTCTGGACTTCAGTTTCCTCATCTTTAAAATGAGGATGTTGAACTAAATGACCTCTGAAGTCCATTTCAGCTCTAAACCTATGAGTTTATAATTCTTTTATTACAAAGGAAACAAAGAAGGCTGTTATTTATAGCTCTACCAATAAAACTGAAAATATAAAAGAAATAGTTAAATATTTACAAAAATGTAAAATAATCAAATCAGCAAAGGATACAAACAGCCTAAATAAGTCCATTTCAGGAAGAAAAAAATAAATAGGTTATTAATGTACTGCTATGTAAAAAAGTGCCTGACCATATACATTATATATATATTCAAAGTACAATTAACCTCTATAGCATATAAAATGTTTCTGAAAGTAGAGGAAAAATAATATTCTAACTTTTTTTACAAGTCAAATACCCCAAGCCTGGTAAAGATAAGGTAGAAAAAGAAAAACTATAGACCATTATCATTCATGAATATTGATGGAAATTGGTAAAAAGCTAGCAGAATACAACAGTGTATAGAAATATGACCTCAGGGGCAGCTAGGTGGCACAGTGGATAGAGCACCGGCCCTGGATTCAGGAGGACCTGAGTTCAAATCAGGCCTCAGACACATAACACTTACTAGCTGTGTGACCCTGGGCAAGTCACTTAACCCTACTGCCTAGCCAAAAAAAAAAAAGAAGAAGAAATATGACCTCATCTATGGGCCTTTCAGAGTATGTAATGGAAAATCATTAACCATCTGTTTGTTTACATACCGGTAAATATGTATATTTCTGTGTGAATATGAGTCAGGGGAATGTGGATACAGAATTTGTACTCTCAATCACTGTTGCTTCTTAGAAGACTGGATTGTATTTGATGTCCCTAATCTTTCATCCTTGAATTCTTACAGACCATCCTGGTGGGAGATAGCGGTGTGGGGAAGACATCTCTACTGGTTCAGTTTGACCAGGGCAAGTTTATCCCAGGCTCCTTCTCAGCCACCGTGGGCATCGGATTCACAGTAAGCACTCACTAGCTGGCTATGCTCCAGGACCTCAGGCAGCAGCTCAACCTGGTGTTTGAGATTTTAAAAGGTCAGAATTTAGCATGGCCACATGAGTTCCCATGGACCCATGAACCTAGGAGGCAAGGGATTAAAATATGTTTCTCCGTGCACTCCCCTACAGAATTTGACTGTTTAGGATGATATGTTGCTTCTCAAACTGCAAGTTTATGGAAAGAAGGTTAATGGAGTAGGGACCTTATGCCTATAAAATGTTTTCTTCTCTTTCAACTTCTAACCAGGGCTGCCCACAGTTTGTAGTCACACTCTCCCTAGAAAGCCTTTGGAAGTTTTCTTCTCCCTTCTTCATTGGATAGAAACAGGGAGCTCTTCTCAGAATCACAGGGGTAGGAAAAGATCAAATATTATTTCTGGCATATTCCCAGCTCTCCCTCTTAGACTAAGGTATGGGGTAAAAGTCATTGACTAGCCTGATGCTAACATAAGAACGGAACTAAGTGTACAAGGTTACAAAAATAGATCATAAGATGGAAGGAAAGGGATTGGGTTTTTTGGAGGTGATAAGAATACTGGAAGTACCAATTTTATATTTCTTTCATTGTCTCTTCATTAGGAGAAGTTTGCCATAGGAATTTGAGTGGGGCACAGAGTCCACTATATCATCAAAAGGCTTGCCAATTGGCTAGGGATTGAAGAATGAAGAGTATAGCATGGGTCATTTCCAAGCTGGAAGACAAGAGAGTTCTGGAACCAAAGATATCATTCTGTCAGCATGAGGGAATAGAGACTATAGGGCTTCGAGAAAATTATTATATGTCAAGCCAGACCGGGGGCACTGCAGTTAAATAAAATGCTTAACAAGTTTGAGGGTCACCAGTTGTGGGACTAGTTAGATTTTGTTGTTTGTTTTTTATTTCACATTCAATCTTCTTGTTTCTTCTTTGGGAACAAGCTTGGTCATTATAATTATAGAGAATTCAATTTGAGCTTTTTTGTTCCTCCTATTTACATTATTTTAGTCATTATATATATTCTTTTCCTGGTTCTGCTTACTTAGCATCACTTCATATAAGTCTTCCTATGATTCTCTGAAGTCTTCATAGTCACTGTTTCTTACCTCATAGCTATATTTCACTGTATTCATATATTGCAATTTGTTGAGCCATTACTCAATCAATAGGTACAGACTTTGTTTCCAGCTTTCTTTTATATCAATTTCTAATAACCTTACCTGGATTTGTATATTTTTTTCCCCTGTAAATAAACTCTTAAGTATCTCTTGTGAAATGGAAAGTGTGGAGGAAGGGGGAAGCAGGGAAGTGGGTCTACGAACCAGGCACTAAATGATGGCATGTATAAATACAAATATATAAAATAAAATATTAATGATGGCATTAGAAGAAGAGAATCAAGTAATTTGGCATTGAAGGCAATAGAACTCTGAACCCAGGGAGCCAAACCTGATCTAAAAAACAAAGTTCCTCAAGTTACAATTCAATGATCCGGTAATTTTAGAAAGCAGTGAAAGATGGAAGCCAGCAAGCCAAAAGCAAGGTTCTTTGGGTCAGTTCCAAGACAAACAGCCGGGTGTGCCAGGATGCCAATCAGTGAATCCTAAGGCCCAAGGCTGAACCAGTCACAATAAGGTTGGCAATGTCACATAGTGGTGTTTCTCCTTTATTTTAGTAGGAGATAATGCCAAGGGACTCCAAGCTGGGAGCAGGAGATTTTTAATGCAGGATTCTAACCTTAAAAAAAAAAATTGATGACTGTATTCTTTGTGTTCTTGTTTATCTTATTTTATGAATTTAAAACATTCTTCTGAGAAGGGGCCCGTAGACTTTATAGGCTGCAAAAGAAGTCCGTGTCACAAACAAGATTAAGAACTTTTGCAGTGGTAGAAAGAGTATTAGATTTTGAGTAAGAGGAACTGAGTTCAAATCTCAAATTTATCACTTGGGTAACTTTAGGCAAGTCATAACTTCTGGGTCTCAGTTTTCTCATCTATAAAATAAAGGGCTTGGACTAGATGCTTCCTAAAGTTCTTTGAGCTCTAAATCCAAAGGTCTCATTAATTAAATTGGTACCAGAGGATCACATGCAAATTTAAATACCACTGTTCTGCCCCACTCACATAATCTCTGGTGACTTCTCTGATGTTCCTGCTGGCCATTTTAACCTGAACTCACTCACCTCCATACAGATGCTGAGAGTAGCAAACAAATAAAACAGTAGCATACAAATTTGCCTCCATACAAATGCTGAGGACCGAATTAAATTAAATTTAACTAGTGTTTATTATATGATTTGCCTTCAGGCAACTAGCCCTAGGCTCTACACCTACTTCCCCAGAGTTGGCTCAGTTCTTTAGATTAATTAAATAAAGCATTTATTAAGTCTTTGTTATGTGTCAGGCTGATGCCAACTCCTTCGGAACTTATTACATTCTAAAGGAAGAAAAGCTATTAATAAAGAAAGGAAAGGTGGAAAGGAAGAGGTTCCAAGTAGGGACTAACCAATCTAGAAGTAAGCCTCAGGGTGTAGTCACCCTGGGGGATGGGATGGGAGGGATGTGAAGCAGAAGAGAGAGTGAGCAGGGAAGGAAGTGAGCTTGGAGGTTAATTTACTTCCTGGCTGTTTTTGTGACCCGGTTTGAGGTCACCAAGGGTCGGACATGACTGAAAACAACTCAACAAAAATTTCTGTGATACATAGGACCTCTAATCAGAGAATCTGAGTACCCATGGACTGCTTGGCAATAGGTCTAAGTTTCTTCCTCTCAAGTTTCCTCATCTGTAAAATTAGAAGGTTGGACTAAATGACCTCTATGGTCCCTTCCAATTCCAAATCTATGATCCTATTCCCCTTCCCACACACACCCACACACACCTACACCATCCCAGGCAGTAGGGTACTCACAATCCTCTCTTCAGATATTACCAAGATGGTGTTCTGAATAATTCTTGCCTAGGGGGAAGCAGTGAGCTGTAGGTAGTTGTACTAGTTCAGGGCTACAAACTGAGGCCCAACATCCTCAAAGGGCTGCTCATTTGTCCCGTTTTTGGGACAAAGTACTTCAACGAGACTTTGCAGGGAATGAGATCTGCGGATTAGTGGAAGACCACAGGCATAGAATCTGAGAGTGCCGAGGAGCCTCAGAGGCCATCTTTTTTTGTTCAGTCATTTTTCAGTTCTATTTGACTCTTCAGAATCCCTTTTTTTTTTGTTTTGTTGTCAGAAATACTGGAATTGTTTGCCATTTCCTTCTCCAACTCATTTTACAGGTGAAGAAACTGAGGCAAACATGATTAAGTGACTTGCCTAGAGTCACACAGCTAGTTAAGGGTCTGAGGCCAAATTTGAACTCAAAAGGATGAGTCTTCTGGACTCCAGGCCCCTTGCTCTATTCACAATGTTCCAGTTCAACCCATAGCTTTAATAGGAATTTCCTGTACAATTTTGGAGAGGTAGTCCTCATCCAGACTGCCTGAAGACCTCCACTGATAGGGAATAATTGACCTTCTAGTCAAGCAGTATTTCTTAACCTGGTGTGAATTTAAAATAAAATTTAAAATTAAAAAAAAACCATTTCAATATTTGATTTCCTTTGTAATCCTATATACTTTGTGCATTTTAAAACATTCTTCTGGGAAGGAATCCATAGGCTCCACCAGATTGTCAAAAGGGTCCACGACACAAAAATAGGAAAGAATTCCTGCTCTGGTGAAAAGTGACTTTGGAAGAGCTGAACTTGGTAGGAAGTTACAGCCGTAGAATGAGGGGAAGCTGGGAGTGAGGGTGGGCAGGAGGAGAGGCGTGAACTGAATATGCAATTTCAGGCAAAGAAGCTAGTATATGAGATTAGCAGAAACACCGTAAAAAAAGAAAAAAACAAACCAGCCAGAGACCAAGCTACAGCGCAGACCATCGATTCGCTCTGCTTATCCGAGGTCGGACACCACGTGGTGCAAAAGGAGTTACAGTGTGAAACCCAGCCGTTACCCGTGCCGGACTTGCCCTGGGCAACGCTCCGGCGCCACCTGCTAGCCCTAAAACCCGTGGCAGCAATGAAGAGCTGGAGCTACTCTGTTAAGTGTAAAAGTAGACACTTAGCTGTAACTGATGGAGTCTTCAACCTTATTTTTCCCTCGAAGGGTTGGTTCCTAACCTCCTTGGCTTGTGCCTTGATGGAGCAGTCCTTGGCTTGAGACTTGGCTAAGGAGTCCCACCCCTGCTTGCCCCTTCGGCCCCTCCCTATTCTTGCATTCTCTAGCCCCTCCCCTCTGGGGGAACGGACAAAGAGTGGGGAGCTGCCCCGGGGAAGCGGGGGGGCGGGGGTGGCCCCGGTAACCGACCCGGGAGAAGTATGTCTGGTCCATTTAGGGCCAGCCCCAAAGGGTAGTAGCGGGTCCAGGCACAGTCTGGCCCGAGGTGGCAGAAGAAAGGGAGAGTGTAGCCTCGGGCGGGACAGAGCGGGTTTTCTCCGTGGTCATCAGTCTGGGATAGCCTCTCAGCCAGTGACATGAGAAGCCCCTTTGGCACCACTGCTACCCCGGGTAGCGGGGCCCCGCAGCGCTTCTCGCCCAGCAGTCCAAGCTACGATCTCGCAGGCAAGGTTGGTGTGCCCTGTGAACTCTCACAGCTAGAACCCCAGGGCAAAGGCTCTGCCCCCTTCCCTAAGTCTTTCTCCCTCCCTCTTTCTGTGTCCTACCTGAATTGAGCCAATCCGGGCTCAGTTCCCAACCCCATTTCGCTCCAGGCATCCCAGTTCTTCAGGAGCTAAGGTAGTCTAATTGCTGTGGGTGAAACTGTCCCCAGGGTCCTCCCAACCTTCTTTGCCAGTTTTGTTTGCTCTCCCGGGCGAATGAATGTGATGGCAAGGGTAGTGAGCCTCCTTCCCACCCTTCACTCCAATTCTTTGGCCCAGCTAGATTCCAGTGGACCTAGCACTCCTTCCTGGAAAACTTCCAAAGATCAAGAGTATTTTCAGTGGGAACTCCGTCCCTAGAAAGCCCCAGTAACGTTTCTCCCGATCTATTAGTTCGAAGGAGTCGAGAGTTATGGGGATGGGGGGGAGACAATTTGGAAAGAGGGTGCCCTGTCCCTAAGGGCCAGGAGTTGCCCTGGTAAATGGGATCCGGATTTGGGGGGAGGGGGGAAAGACCTTCAAAATTATCTAATATGACTCATTTTACAAACGAGGAAACCGACCTAGTAAGGGGAAGTAACTTGCTGCGTCTCGGTACAAAGCACCACGGCCAATTTCTGAACCTTAGAGGTGTTCGGTCTCAAGATCCGTTGCTAAGATCCACCTCATTCATCATTTCCCAAGAGCTTCTTCAGTTAAAAATATCCTAAGATAGAGTCAAGTGGTGTGCTTTTCCCCGTTCGTCATCGGTTCTTGAGCCTTTTCCTTTTCCTGTCTCCAGTTCACCATAATAGACTTCAATAAATATCCCTGGGCTAGTTATTTAGATTCACTCTTTTTCTCCGAGAAATCTGATCTAAAACGACTAGCTTCATTTAACCTTTTCACTGTCCTGGAAGAGTTCAGTTATTCCTAGATATTCCGAAAAAGACCATGGAAGAGTGAGTGCTCCCACGCAATCTATCAATAAACAGGCTTTTATTAAGCGCCAGCAATCTGCGTGGTACTTTGTTGGTTAGTTGTTAGGGAAATGAAAGAAATAGCCTTCATCCTCAATAAGCTCACATTCCACTGGGGGAGACAAAATGTACATATGTAATATACAGGTAGTATACAGAATAAATACAAAATAAATCCCAGAAAATTAGAGAGGGAGAGCTGTAGCAGGTGGGGGTGGGGTGTGGATCAGAAAAGGTTTATTGTACAAGATGGGGCTTGAACTGAGTGATTCTAAGGCTGGGGTTGAGAACCTTCCACCTCGAGGTCACCTGTGGCCCTTTCCTTTGACTGAATCCAAACTTCACTTGAGGCTCTAGAGGGCCACCAGTGGCCTCCAGTCAGAAGGTTCCTCACCCCTGTTTTAAGGTATTCCCATTATGTGGAACACGCAGTACAAAGGGAGAGCCTGGAGATAGAGTGTGGAGTGTAAGGAATAGTAAGAAAGTCATTTTAACTGAACTTTAATGTACTTGAAAGGAGCAATGTGTTAAGTCCCGGTCATGCTCTGTTATGAACCCTTTGAGGGATATGGTATATATTTGGACATCACAACTCCTTCCATGTGACCTTGGAAAAGAACCCTGCCTCTCTCCAAGAAGCCTGCCTTGATTTCCATCCCAGAGCACTCCACCAGAAAACATTCCATTCCTCAGGAGCAGATGTATATAGGGTCCTGAAGTCTTGGTTTGGGCCATTCAGAAGGAAAGTATTCAATTTGCCCTCCCAAAGCCCCAGTGCCTACTGTTGTGGTGGGAAATAAGCTTCCCAACGGATCACACATGGGGGTCTTAACATATTGGATTAGGGAAGGGGAGGAAAAGTGCTGATGCCCAATATCCTGGGAGTTAACTGAGCCCCAGCATCTAGATTGTTGGTAACAGAGCAGAGGTCCCTAGTTCACCTGATTGCCTAAGAACATAGTTAGATGCTGGGTAGCCTGTTTATATTTGTGTTTAATGGAATTTGCCTGATTGGGAGGGTAATTGGTATGACAAGTAAAACATGCAGGCAGCTACCACTCCTCCCTCCTCATAACTGGAGTTAGAGATTCCAGAAGCCTGAGAGACTAGAAATAGGTAACTAGGGTGCATGCATTCCCTTATCTACCTTCTCCTTCCACCCCAGAGGTAAACTGCTCAACCAGATTGTTAGCCAATCCCTCTCTGCTGGCTTGTAGATACAGAATATTTGCACTGGAAAAGACCTTATTGGGCATTTAGTCCAGGGACTCATTTTGCAGATAAGGAAACCGGTCCCCCAGAAGTCATCTACATTGCCCAAAGTTCCATAGTTACTCAGTGGTAGAGTCAATACTAGGACCCAGATTCAGGAGGAGAAAGTGCGGCTGGTGAGTTTGCACAGCCCTCCCTCACATCAATCCAATTCACTTGCATGTCATGGCATCATCTTCCTGAAGTCATGGTCCTCTTCCAGAACAAAGGACAAACAATAGCTTTCCACCACACCATGTTTTGTGTGTGCTCCCCTCTCATCTTTAATCCGGGAAGTGGAGTTCAGGACAGAATGGGAGGAATGGTTATGGTAAATGACTATCTCCCAAGTGCTGATTAGAAAGGCACGTGGGGTGGGGCTGCGTAGAAGCCAACAGGGCTCCACATTTCATGAGAATCTCTACTACTATGTATCTGGCAAGTGGTCATCCAGGCTTTGTTTGAAGACCTACAGTGAAGGAGAATTCTCTCTCTCCCAAAGCTGCCAATTCTAATTATTAGAAAGTTTTTCATGAAATCAAGAACAACTTTGCCTTTTCCCCCCTTCAATTTATGCCCACTGCACCTTATTCTGCTCTCTGGAACCTAGCAAAACAATTCCCTTCCTTCTGTCTTCCCCTCTGTATCCCACAGCCTCTTACTGACATACTCCCCCAATCAATCAATAAACAATTAAAGAGCACCTAGAACTTGCAGGCACCTGTCGGTACATTCCCTCCCCTTCATTCACTAGTTCTTTTGACCTGCCTAACCCTATTAACCCAACTCTGCCTCATCTCCTAGGTAATGCTGTTGGGAGACTCAGGCGTTGGGAAAACCTGTTTCCTGATTCATTTCAAAGACGGGGCTTTCCTATCCAAGACCTTCATAGCCACTGTCGGCATAGACTTCCGGGTGAGGTGGCTGTGGGCTCCTTCAGACAGGTGGGGCCTTGGGGCTACAGCTCATGGCCAGTGGGGTCATTATCCTCCTTCTTTCCATCCATGTCTGTTGAGAGTTCGAACAGAAGATCTCTGCATTTGAACTCTTGTGCTCTCACTGCTTAGTGGATTTAAGGGAACTGTACAATCCCTCAGATTTGTTCCAGCCAGGGAAATCTAAAAATAATGATCATAACATTTACCTGTTGGGGATAGCAAAGAAAAGAATGGTTCTTCCCCTCTCCTTTTGGTTGGAATGTCATCTTCTTTGTTTTATCTTTCCCATTGCCCTCTGGAGAGAATGCTTCCCAATTCCCTCAACTAGTCAATTCTTCATGTAGTTTACAGTGTACAAATCTTTGTACTAGGCATTAGGATAAAGAATAGACATAGTCTCTTACCACATAGAACTTGTAGTCTTAATAGGATTGGACATGGTGGGAAAGCCATTGGACATTACATGGTCCATAATTTCTCTGGGTTCTTCTTCTGTGGAAAAGGGTCTAAAGGAACTTCTAAGACTTCCTCTCTTGGTTCAGCCATCTTGCCATCAGTTCCAGGAGTGACTTCTCCAGCAGGACTGGGAGGAATCAACATTTGTGTTTGCCCCAGCCCAGGGATGTGAGATGGTTGGGCCACTGGACTCAGACCCCAAACCACTCCATTATGTAAGCATAAAGAACTGAGAATCTAATTAGGAGGAAAAGATTAGTAGAGGTCTTTAGTCATGGGAAATGCAGATGGGTGATAGCTGGAGCAGGGTAACAGCTCCATGGAAGTGGCTCTGTCCTCCTTATTTAGATACCTGCCTTCTAGGCTAAGCTGGCCCAGCCACATCAGAGTCCACAGGCGAGACCTTTGGGACAATGTCTTTAGGAGAGAGTCATGATGATATCAATAAACATTTACTAAGTTACTACTATATGCAAGGTACTGTGACAAAATTGAATATTTTCTGGGGTGGCAGACATGGAGTGAAGAAAGGATAAGAAGAGCCCTGACTGTTGATTCTCATCAAGAATTAGGACTCACCCTTTCAACTACACTATGCTTCAGTCTATACTCCACCAACCCAATCCCAAGGTGGAGCAAAGAACAGGGGAAGGGAGGTTAGGGGGAAAAAATGGCTAGGATAGGGATAGCTGAGAGCCAGTTCTAAGCCTTCTACTCTTGGGGCCCTTCCTTACTTTCATGGATGGGTTTGACCATGCAAGTGATACTAGATCTTCCCAAATCTCTAAGCTCCCTTGAGAGGGTCAGGGTATGAGATCCCTCTAAGGATGGTATGCTAAAAGATGAGGAACTTGAGTACCCCAAACCTATGAAGTTTCCCTCCACCCTTATTGTTTACTTCTTTTTTAGAATAAGGTGGTGACTGTGGATGGTATGAAAGTGAAACTACAGGTAAATCGAGGGACTGGGGTTGGGGGATGGGGGATGGGGAGAGAAGAGGGAATGATCAGTCTGCCTATGCTGATAGGACTTAGCCACAGGAGGCCTGTCAAGGGCTGTGGTTATGTTCTGTTTGGGGTAACTTCCTGTGGGGCCCTAGAGAGGGAGGAAGTTGCTCTTGTCTGTATAGAAATAACAGCTTTCAAGCTCCCTGGCTTCTATTATAGGTTTTTCTCAATTTAAAGTTTCTCTTTCTGGCCCTGTCCCAGGCAGGGCCTTTGAACAAATATTTTAGAAGCTTTCCACGTCCAATCCCCTTTTCACTTTAGAAGTGGCTTCTTCCACCAGTGCTGAGGGAACAGCTTATGTTGACTCTTTCCCCACCCCACCCCCCTTCACTATTTGAGGTTAGGGTGAGATGATTTCCTGAGAAGGAGCCTGGAAAATTCCAGGAGGTCAGATCATTAGGCAGTCAGTGTCCAAGGACTCTGGACAAGTATTTTCCTCCTTCTCACTGGAAAGGACAGGGTCTGTTCTAGGTTACCAGATGTATGCCCTGCTACACTGTAGGGAATTCCACCTTGTATCTTGCACAGTGCAAGAGGGGCCCAGTCATTTTCCTATATCTCACTTACTTCAAAGGGTTTTCTTTTCCCTAGAGTGGCTGATTTTCCTGTCTCTCCTTCTTACTGATTTTCTGTCTCTTCTTAGATTTGGGACACAGCAGGGCAGGAACGATTCCGAAGCGTCACCCATGCCTACTACCGGGATGCCCAAGGTAGGTCTCTATACTCTCCCCAAAGGCTCTGTGTCCTTCCCCCCAGTTCCCATCTCCTTTTTCCTCCCTCTACCAAAAGCAGAGCCCCCAAATTCCTACTGTTCTTTTTCTCCCCTTCTAGCCCTGCTCCTGCTCTATGATATCACCAACAAATCTTCCTTTGACAATATTCGGGTAAGTCCTTCCATTTCTCTGGCTCCCCCAGATAGCACCCAAGGCCAGGACTCCCTCCCCACCATGACCCCCTGCCCTGGGAGCAAAACTACTTTCTAAAAGCACTTGGGTTGATGAGTCAGAAACAGATAACTGTCCTTTTGTATTTTATTAGCAAATAAGTTGAAGTCTGTAAGAAGCCTACAGCCTCCGATGGGCCCCGTAAACAACTCTGAACATAGCTCACATACACATTTCATATAAAAGGACATAGAAACAACTTCAGGCTTCACCTGAGTTACCAATTAGGGACCCAGCCCATTGGGACTACCAGTGCCAGATGTTGATGGTCAATTACAAGTTGGGCTAGGATAAGTATGTAAGCTGGGTGGGTGGAGAATAAAAAGAAGGCAAGAAGAGAGGTTATGCTCCTCAATGGACCAAACCCAAAATACTGCCTGTTTACTGTGTATAGAGCAGCACTATACTAAATATTGTGAGAGTTTCAAAGCAGAAAGCGTAAGACAAAGAGTCTCTTAAGGAGTTTATAACGCAATGGGGAGACATACAAACTTTTCAGAGAAGAGAAAGTGGTTTGGTCAGTCAGGGAAAGAAGACTTCACAGGCCAAGGGCTGGACCTTAAAATAAGGATTCCAATGCAGAGAGCTGGTATGAGGTCTCCTCTGAGGTTCCATTCCTACTATTCTGCAGCATTTATCTTGCATATTTGCCTGTGCATATATTTACACATATGCATACTTATAAATATATACGTGTATGTGGATATACATGTACATATCCTACACATGTATTTATGTGTGTCTATATATACATACTCACACACATATATAGATATACAGAAAACATTCTGTTGGAATGTAACCTTATTGGGGGCAGGGACCATTTTTTGTTTTATCTTTAAATCACCAGTGCCTGGCACAGGATAAGCTTATTATGTATTGTGATATATAATAATAAAAGCTTATTTATTAAGTGATTGATTGATGAGTTTGGTTGAGGGAGAAGTAGGAAGGCTGAGACACAGGAGACAGATATACTTATTTTCTCTTAGTAGAACTTATGAACTATTTTATTTTTATCATTGTATTTCCCCAGACTAGATACTTAGTAAATGATTATTAATTTGAATTAACTGACCAATGAAATGAGTCAGTACAGAGGAAATAGTTGATAGGAAGTGAAAGGGGAACGGGGAAGGGGTGGAGCATTGACTGGGGTAGATGGGGATCTTCTCAGGATGGAAGTCCTGCCATCTAATTAGGTCCCTTTTTTCTCCACTAACTCATCCACCCTGTCCTATAGGCTTGGCTAACTGAGATACACGAGTATGCCCAAAAGGATGTGGTGATCATGTTGCTAGGCAACAAGGTACGTATTGCTTCTGGGCCAATTACCTCTCTAAGGTAACCCTCCACCCTGCTTCAGTGTCACAAACTACCTCCTCTATTAAAAAAAAACACTTTTATTCTAATCTTTTTGTTTTATATTACTTACATCATGTACCCATCTTCTTTCTCCCTGAGTTATAAAAAAAAAGACTTTTATAAAGTTTAATAATACTAGTTAATATCTCAAAAAAAGGTATTTTACAACATAGCCCCCCAGCTTTCTTCGGAGAAGAATGGAGGTGTTTTTCTCCTATCTTTTCTTCAAAACACTCCATATGGCATAGTGGATAGAATGCTGAACGCTGATTTGGGAAAAACTGAGTTCATATCCTACCTCAGACACTAAATGACCATGAACAAATCATTTAACCTTTCTTAACTTCAATTTCCTCATCTCTAAAATGTGGGGTGGAAGTTGGGGAGGAAGCTCGGTCATTACTTTAACAGCATTCAGTTTTTGTTTTGATTTATTAAAATAAGTCAATAATTTGTTTATTTTTCCCGGTATATCTTTATTTTATTAACTCTGTCCCAATTACATGTAACAATTTTTTTAAAATTCATTTAAAAAATTTTGAATTCCAAATTCTCTCCTTCCCTCCCCCGCTTACCTCTTCCTCTATTAAAAAAAATCTATGAGTTCTACGAAGGCATAGGGAATTTTTGTATGTGGTGGTGGAGGAAGGTGGGATCTTTGGCTCCTCTCTTCCATACACTCCCACATTTCCTCCCCTCTGGGTTCAAACCTTTCTGACTAGGAGGTTTTGGAGAGGAGATGGAGTCATCCTTATGTCCTTGTCCTTTCCATAGTGGAGTTAGGTTTAAGGACTGAGGCTGGGAACAGTTGACTGATCCCCTTCTGGGATGGACTCTCAAATCCTTGGCTATAATGGCACCTAATGGCATTAACCAGAGTGTTCAGCGTCTTGGGTTGATACCTCTGGGATCTAGAAGGCTGTTATGCCTCAGCCACAGGTCCTCCTAGTACCTGGCTCTAACCACATCTCCTTGGCATTGTCTGCAGTCAATCAACTGTTCTTGAGTCCCACAGGCAACCAGCAGAGGGCAGGCACGGTCCACGGTCTGGGCAGGGAGCGGTTTGGGCTCTGGCGGTAGGAGGGTAGAGGGAAGATATGCTTCTCCAGAGTGATGGGTGTGGATTTTGCAGGCGGATGTGAGCAGAGAAAGGGTAGTCCGATCAGAAGATGGAGAGACATTGGCCAGAGTAAGTGATTGCCCATGGGATAAAGAGAGGGTTGAGGAAGGGACTGACCAGGGGGAACAGCAGATCCTGAAGATACTTCCTACTTGACAGGAATATGGTGTGCCTTTCATGGAAACCAGTGCTAAGACGGGCATGAATGTGGAGCTAGCCTTTTTGGCTATTGCCAGGTCAGTCCATGGGACAGAGGAGGGTCCTTTCTTGGGAAGCAGGGGATGGGAGGAGGAGAAAGAGTGTCACCACCACCACCATCCAAAAGAGTAATGGAATGCCCCAGAACCTGAGGGACCCATCACTTCTGAGCCTGGGGGATGAGGGGGACTCTTTTTGGAGCTACAATCTCAACCCTGGCCTCTTTCAGGGAGCTGAAGCACCGAGCTGGGCGACAACAGGCAAATGAGCCCAGCTTCCAGATTCATGACTATGTGGAATCCCAGAAGAAACAGCCCAGCTGCTGCCCATTTGTGTGAGAGAAGAGGGGCAGAAGGAGCCTGGGGAGAATGAACCACTGGGTTTAGTGCCGTTCCCCACCTCCAGACTGAACTCTTAAACATCTTGAGTACTCCAGGGGGGCAATGAGTCCCCCAACTGAAAAAAAAAGGCACAAAGGGCAGAAGCATAAGGAATGCCAAAGAAATAAGTTACACATACACACCATCCCATCAAAGCTTTCCCCCAGGAGGGACCTAGACTCTTGCATCAGGCTTACCCCAGGTTTCTCTGCTCCCCTCCTCCCAATGCTTATAGCTTCTGGGTCCCTGGTATGAGACTTGGCATTTGAGGACCAAAGATATTTTTAAGTTAAATTTTGGTCTGGTACCACAATAGTGAAAACTTCAGAAAAATAGAAAACCCGTTTCCCTCAGAGAAAGGGGCTAATAACCTCCCTATTGCCTTTCAGTTCAGGGGGCCTCCATCCAAACTTCTCTGGTAAAGCCCCCAGCCAACTCTTAACTTTAGGGGACTGTGGCTTTGTTCCAGCTCACCAGGAGAACCCAGAAAAGGGCAATTAGTGGCTACTGTGCCCCCTACCACACTTTAGCTCATGAGAGACAAGCAGCCTTTGTACTTTTTGTTTCTCAGAGGCTCAGGGACCACAATAACCACTGAATCACTGTGGTCTGACCTGATGTATGATTCCCAAGTATCAAAAGTCAAATGAGTGAAAACCTCAGGAGAGTACAGATGTGAAGGTGTGAATTGAGTTTCAGTGTGTGTGTATATGTAAGAAAAGGAAGGAGTTGCACAAGTTCAGCTGGCTTGGTCTACCTTGTTTCCCTAGATCCCCATTTGAGAATGAAACGACTCATTCCTGATGTCCTTTTCCCCCTCTTGACCTTCCCCCCCCTCCAATGTGAGGCACTTGATAAAAGAGATTCTGGGCTCCCTTGCTGAAGAGCTTCAAGAGAGTATCTATGCTTAGGGGTTCCATCCTAGGCAAGGACTTCAGTGTCAGTGAGCAGCTGAGAGTCAGGCCAAGGATTTTCTCTTTTTGACCCAAGGCTTTTGGTAAATGTGCAACTTTAACATGTAGCTTCTTAGAGTAATGTTAGCATTTCTCTTGGATGAGGAGGGGGAAGTGAGGAAGTTCTCCCTCCCTCTCTTTTTTAAACATTTAAAAAATTTTTTTCAGGTGGGGTAATCAGGGTTAAGTCACTTGCCCAAGGTCACACAACTAGTAAGTGTCTAAGGTCAGATTTGAACTGAGGGCCTCCTGACTCAAGGGCTTGTGCTCTATCCACTGGGCCACCTAGCTGGCCCTCTTCCCTACCTTTCATCTCTTCCTTTCTTGAGGATTGGGCCCTAGCTGGCCTGCTCCCAGACTGTCAATCTCCTACCATATTCAGATTGTTCTAGGAGAAACTCCAGGGCTTTGACCCAGATAAAGCAGAATGAAGCAAACTGAGACCTGCCTCTCCCATTAACACCTGCCCCTGTCCATCTTCCTTTGCATTGTTCTAAGCATTAGGTACCACAAAGGCCAGATGGGGTTCCCCTTCCTCTTTCTACTCATCCTGGTTCAGAATCCAGAAGCCCCACTGCGAATGAGGCTAGATCAATTGGGGTTCTGGAGACTGGTTTTTTGTTTTGTTTTGTTTTTTCTTTTTTCTGAGTAAGTTACCTGTATAGAGCCAGATCATCATGATTAGGGCCTTGGGAGGGTACCCATGTGATTGTTTTCCCAGAGTCCTCTCTCACCTACTATAGGACAGGTGGACTCTGTAGGGACAGGTACCACAAACCCATATGTGATCTGCCCATTTACCTTCTTCCAGTTAGTCCAAACTCCTCATGCCAACCCTGCTTTCTTGTGTTTGTTCCCATTCCAATCCAGGCCTAAGCATGTGACAGTGGGGGAAAGAGGGGCATTGCAGTTTTGTGTGGCTGCCTGGGTTGGGCTTTCAAGTCAGAGACCAAAAACCTTGGCCTACAACACAGCAGGCCTTCCAGCTTGGTCTCCAAAAGGTGGCTCCAGGCTTCTTCCAGCCTAGGGAACTGTGTATTGCATGAGAGTGATACTTCTTACTCTGGTTAATATTGGCATTTGTGTGTTTTTCAGAATTAAACAGCAGTATTTTGGAGAGTATACCAAGTCCCACGAATTCCTTGAAGAGGGTTTGGTGGGAGGCAGTGGGCTCTACCTCTTCTTCCTGGGAATACCAAGCTAATTTAGGTAGATTGCATGGGGAAAGTTCAGAGGCCAGGGCCGGGCTTTCCCCCTTTCCCCATGATTCCAAGAGGCCCCAGCAGGTTACTGACAAGGAAGCCAAGTGAAGCGTTCTTCAGAAAGTCCTAGCAACCTGGCATCAGGATTAAAGATTCCCCAAGAGGGCGACGAGTAAGGTACCTGTAGGGGAAAGTGTGCTTTTCTACCCCAGGACATTCTTCCTGTGGAATCTGCTTTGGGAATTTTGTCTAACCTGGCTACAATCCAAGCTGGGTTTGGCTCTACTCTCGAATTTCACTTATTTCCTCAGACGCTCATCTTGATCCTTAACAGGCCCCATCACACCACATCGCCACCTCCTCCCCGACTGTCCCCCGGCCAGATTAGACCAGAGATCCCTTCCCCAGCCTAGCAATCTCCATTTTCCCTTCGGGAAAAACTACATTACCCCCTCCGGGCTCCTCTTCCTCAGAAGAAGTATGGGGCGGGGGCGTATAGCTCCCTCCCCTCCCACCCCCCAAGCAGAATTGAGGCCCGTGTCTTTGTATTCGGTATTCCGCAATGGGGTCCTGGGGCAATAGGATCTCTTCTGGTTCTAAATAGCTCCCGTAACTTGACGGATGTTGTTATTTAAACAGCTCTAAGGAGGAAGAGGTGGGTGGATGGGCTGGCTAGGCCGTGTGCCCTTAGTACTAAAGTTTTCTGAGACTTCTCTGTCCCTGAAAAGAAAGGCGATTTCTCCATACAGGCTGCCTACTGAGTCACAGTACTAATCTCACAATCTGCACCCAAGTCCAAACCTGAGCGCCCTTTTCCTGAGGCTTTCAGGGTCCTAAGTTCCCGCCTCTCCCCTAGCTGAAGGTCGGCTGCAATAGACCCAATCTTTTGAAACCATTAATCAGGGACCAGGAACCAGGCTTCCCAGATCCGGAATCCAGCTGATGCAGATACGTGGGCGCAGCCAGGGGAACCCAGATGGGATTCCTTCCCCTAGACTCCAGGTGCCACACCTTCCACTCCCGCTAATTGAAGCTTTGTAATGCACCTCAAGCACTTTTTCCTTCGCCCGCTTCGTGTGCCTATTAGCAAGCCCCCGCCCCTTCTACGTCCCAATTGGCTCGTTTTGTTCAACCAGCTAGGGCACCCCTCCACCCCCTTTCTCCTCCGGTTCCTAATTGGGCCTGAGCCGCCCCTCCCCCGGGATAAGGGGCTGTGACAGGTTCTGGAACGCTCAGACACTGTGCTAAACTGTCATTGGTCCCCATCGCCTTACTTCGGAACTTCGGAGTTCGCAGCGGGCCCCTTCCTAGCTACCTACTGCCTCCTCCCGGGCCAGGGATTCCTTACTGTGTTTCATCCCGGATCCCCGCCTCCTAGGGCAGGGGGGTGGGAAGGGGTGATTGGTGAACCGGCCCCATCTTCAAGCCTTGAGCTGCCCCGGAGCAACATGAGCGCAGACGGCGACTCCGGGAGCCCCCTACCCCGGCTCTGTAATCTGGAGAAGGGGCCGAATGGTTACGGCTTCCACCTCCACGGCGAAAAGGGCAAACTGGGACAGTTTATCCGGCTCGTGGAGCCAGGCTCGCCGGCCGAAAAAGCGGGACTGCTGGCCGGTGACCGGCTGGTGGAGGTAAACGGCGAGAACGTGGAGCAGGAGAGTCACCAGCAGGTGGTGAGCCGTATCCGAGCCGCGCTCAACTCGGTGCGCCTGCTGGTGGTCGACCCGGAGGCGGACGAGCGCCTGCAGAAGCTAGGCATCCAGGTGCGGGAAGAACTGCTGCGCGGCCAGCTCGGGGAGCATCCAGCCGATCCTACCCCGCAGAGGGCCGCGGAGAAGCAGGCGGATGGAGGCGAGGAGGGGCAGCCGGGAGCGGCCAAGCAGCCGCGGGAAGAGAAGAGCCAACCGGAACAGGTAACTAACTACTCCTTGGTCTGGGATTCAAAGAGGGGAGGGGGAAAGGCGTTTCAGGGAGGCATGTAGATAGGTGTCCATGGAATAAAGCCGCGCGGCTTAGCCCCGAATTCGCCGTTGTTTCGTTCTGAAGCCAAAGACCGCGATATGGAGGCGTTTCCGCCTGTTGCTGGCCCAGCCGACGCGTGTCTCTCATACAGATTGCCCCTTCCTGTCTCCCCTCACCCCCACCCTGGACCCGTCCCTGCCACGCTGAAGCAGACTGGCTGCCGCCTCTTTCTCGGGAGTTGTTAGGAAGGTTGATGAGATCGACTCCTTTTCACGCATATAACTATATCCGCTGCTCCACTCCCCATCTGTTCTCTAAGAGGCACCCACACCCGCGTTGCAACCAAAAGAGGGGAGAGGTGGAACCCTGTTTTCTCCAGGGAGCAAGTGCCATCACTCCCCCCTTCCCGCTCCCGGGGTGTATGGAGGGAGTTAGCCCCAAACCTCTTAGAGAGGCAGTCGCCTCTCTGCGGCCACAGGTGGGTGGGAACTGGAGCTCAGGGATGCCTGGGAGAGTCCAGCAGAGACTGCAAAGGGCGAGCAAGACGAATATACATCCTCTTCTTCCCCCTTCCCCTACCCCGCATGGAAGCCACAGCCGTGTGTGTATGTAAGTAACCTGGAGAGGTGGCAATGTAGAGAAGAGGGGGAAATTGGGAAAGTTTTTTTTTTTTTAAATCTCAAGCAGGGAGTAGGGGGAGCATAATTTTTAGGTGTCATTAACCTCAGTCAGGTGGGACTTCATCCCTCCCGGAGTGTGATGTGGCTTCTAAGAAAGAAGGAACAAGCCCCACTGCCTTGGGGCAGACGGGGATTGGAACGGGGCAGAGGCCAAAGATGGGGGTGGGGAGGAGGAGAAAAGAAGTGAGTCTCAGGGGTGGTGATACTGCCACCCAAGAGGATTTATGAGTCTCAGGAATGTGAGAAGTAAGCACAGCCTTTATCTGGGAAGCTGAGGGAAAAGAGATCGGAGGGGACCTGGTGAAGGGAGAGTGGAGGATTTCCCAGGGCAAACAAGCTGGGATAATTTGCTGCTTTTTCCATGTTTGGTGTTTCCCCAAATGATCCCAACTTGGATCAGCTGGTGGAGGATGGGGGTTGGAGAAATATAGAGTTGCTGTTCTGAGTTGTCTGTCCCCAGAGATTATGCACGATTTTAAAGAGTCAGGAAGGGGTGGCTCCCTGGCCTTGCTGAATTCCAGGGGCTCGGTGCCGGTGCTCAGCCTGAGAGGAACAGAATTTGGGTCCTCAGCACTTGGTCTCCCAGAAAATTGGACTGTTAATTTGCAACCAGATGGCTTCCTGCTGGCTAATGTAGATAACGTTGGCACTAGAGACAGGGCAGCGCTCAGAGTGGAGGAAGGGCACTGTGCAGGGGAGATTGGGGGCGGGGTGGAGAAGGCCAACAGGTTAGGTCGCCAGGGAACATTTTCCTGGATTTAGCTGGATGCTGGGAAGGCTATCCTTCGGCTCCACTGGCTCTTACTTCCTGTCTGTGCCAGGTTGGCTCGGGGAAGGGAGGGCAGGAGCTTCCTGGCAGGAGAGAGACTCAAGTTAGTGCCCTGAGGTGAGTCAGGGAACAGGTAACCTCTAGTCTCCACCTAGAGTTCACTGTCTTGAAATTTA